GCGCTTTCACCATCCCAGTCTGCCCTCGTGCTCTATCACCAAGCAGGTGAGCATAAATGTAAGAATATACTTGGCTTAGAAAGTTATTGCCACTGGCATATTGTTAACCTTTTCAGATGAAAACGGTTGACTGAGATAGCTTGTACCCGAATGTCTTGGTTCATAATTAGGTCTTATTGGTGCAGTGCAAATAATAAATTATATTCTGTATGATTTTCCAGCAGAAGCAGGGAAGAATGCAGTTTTTGTCCTGACACCTTGCAGGAGACGAAAGAGGAATTAGCTCAGCTGCAGATCTGCAGATCTAGATGATCCTGGAAAATCTGACATTTCTGATGGGGTTGGGACTTGGAATTTAAATATTAAAATCTCAGAAAATTTTCACCTTTACCTCTAATGCTGCATTGCAAGCACTCCCCTTTTGTCTCGACGACTGCAGCCGCCTCGTTATCCTGGCTTGCATAGAGGAAATCCTGCTAAGGCATAGCTGATCCGTAGTACTGCTGCTGCTTCTGCAAAAACACTTTTTAGTGACTACATGTCCCCTCTTTGTCAGTCCTCTACTGTCCCTTCTTCTCCAGTGCATCAGGCACTTCACATCTGCACCGTTCTCCATAAGGTGACATACCTCATTCCCTTCTTCTTGAAGACCAATCCTCTGGGCTTTAATCAGCCCAGGCCCCCAGCACCATCTCCCTCAAGCTGTCCCTTTGCCTTTCCCCAAGCTTCCCTTGCTCTTTAGTGAGGCTCTGTATAGAGACATCATTTGTTTCTCTGGTGCATCTCAGCGTGTTCCCTTTTCCTGTGATACCTTTGGTGGCCATCTCGTTGTCACCCACCCTGCCACGCGTTTCCTRCCACTGGAGCTAATGTGCTTCTGGATCTGAGCACACTGGTGTCCTCTAAGTGCMGGATATCACGAAGGCAATGCAGTATGGACAACTGTATCTACCACCGGCAGCTCTCCTCCCATAGTCTGTGACCTGAGTGGATTTTCCTTACTCTTTTTTTGGCATTTCAGGTGCGACCCTGCCCCCTTATGCTTAAATGTGACAKCATGGTTCACCTACAACTCTCTTTGCCTTTGTACTGTAACTTTTTATRTATTATTACATACTGTTTTGGAATRGTGGAAGTAAATAATAATRTAGATGTGGTAATGCAGTCTTCTTGTCAAAGGAGGGCAGGCATCCTGCACTGGTAAAACAAGGAGTGGTATCAGGATGGAAATGCTTTTCTGATATCCCATTGAGGAGGAAAAAAAAAAAAAAAAAGAGAATCTAAGGAAAAGGCCTCTTGGCAAAGCATGCTGAGGCACCTGAATTGGGATGCAGCATTACTGTGATGCCATATCTATGACTGAAACTCCCTTGATGTTTAAATTTGCAACCGCATTGCGTTGTTGGTACTGAATCTGCTTTACCAGGGAGGATAATTTCTGAAACAAAATGGTAATTTAACAGAGATTTCTGTTGACTAAACTGTACGTATTTCTGTCCTAGCTTTATATTGTGCCAGGATTTTAAGGAGATTAAAATGAAATCTGCTTGACATTTTAGGGCTTGTTATGGGTCATATACTCTTTTACTTGTATTCTGATTCTTTTGAGCTCCAGCTATCAGGTCACAGCTTCATTAGTTGAGGACTAATGACTGACAGGGGACAAGTGAAGGGACATTTCTTGTTCAGCAGAATCCCTAATTTAAGTCAGGGCTCCCAAAGTTTGTTGAGAAGATGAGGCCACAGCAGGGTGATTGCGACACCAAGGAGCACAAGAGATGGAGGTTCTTGGCTGTGCTCATGTGTGTGACCACCTCATCTGGCACTGGGGAAGATGCTCTGCCTCAGCACAAGCTGGGCTCATGGAGATTTTAATCTCTTCACTTTTGGAAATACTAAGTCTGTGTTACTGGTAGATGAAGGAAATGGTGCCTGACGCTTCTGAGTATTTTCTTATTTGTTTATGTGTTTGTTTTTTTTGTTTTTGTTTTGTTTTGTTTGTTTTTGTCCTTCAGGAACTTCACCTGTAGGTTTACCAAACCTCAGGGTCCAAGTGTCACTAGTGTAGCCTGATAAAAGACCACCATGACTGCAGGATGAAAGCAGGACTTAATAATAAAGACAACTAGCCCTGGGACTTGCAATTTTATCTGACTGCTCAGGGTGGTCAAGCACTGGGCAGAGCCCTCTGATACACAGTGCACATGGCGAGCCCATGGCAGAAGTCAGGCAGAAGCTATCAGACCTGGTCCAACTTCTGCTTGTGCTGAGGTTAGCGACGTCACCCACACACACGCTGGGTGGTGGCTTCTCCCCAGAGCCCTACCAAAGTCAGGGGGATCCTGCACAGAGCCGGCAGTGCCTCTACAAGGAGCGCCAGCAGCAASGGGATGACTCGGTCACAAGAGGAGATGGCAAGATGAAATCAACTGAATTATTTTCAGATGCTCCTTCCACTGCTAAGCTTGAGTTTTAACTGAAAGTTATTACTTCACACTTTTATTTTTCCTTTTGTGACAATGCTCATTTTTTAGATAAGCAGCCACACCACCCTATACTATATATTTTCCATTCAAAGAAAACTTTTCATTTTGGCGGCTGCAACAAAACAAATGAAAAGGCATTCTACAAACACTGAAAATAAGGAAGCTAGATACCCTGCAGGGGCTGATTTTGCAGTGGAATGCCTTTCCAGTTGCCATCTCCCTGGACACCTGGAGTCTTCTCCCTCACATTATTATAGTGGTGATAACCTCTAGCTGCTGTGCTTAACTGCAGAGGCCAACTGCCAAGATCCAAAGCTGCTAGGTGGAACCAAATGAGTGACTGAACTGTCTGTCCATCCTCTTTGATCATCTTCTGTTGTTAATCTTGAGGCATTTGATTGGGTTTGAGATTTTTGCCTGGGGTGGAATTTGGCTGAAAATGACCAATAGGTATAGAAGTGATGGCATAAAACTGGGACTGGACACTAAGTAATCAAATGTGACTTTTTGCTATGGTAGGCCACACTTAAGAGTGGGCTTTTGAGGTGTGTTTGGGTTTTTTTTTAGGTAATTTTAAGTTTTTACATGAAATTTTCAACAACAATGGAAAATAAATATATGTAGCAAACCTATATAAAAAGGAGATTTATTTCTCTGGTAAGTTTGTTTCCTCTTGGTGGGATTCAGACCTACAGTCTTGTGCGGTTCAGAAACCAGGAAGGTTGATTTGTGGTCCCAGTTGTGCACAAGTGGGACCCTTTACCCCCTTCACATCCTGAGGGGTCATGGGGAAAGAGCCTTGCACGGATCTCTTTGGTGATGGAGATGAATGGGGAGTAGGTTTGTTCGAGCTGAGTTTTGTGACGTTAGAGCGTGGTTAGCACAAGCCTKGCCCGTGGGCTAATGTCGTAACTGAGACCATGGGAACAGCCATGAAGGTGTTAGGGTAGGAACAAAGATGGACCATGTGATAGAGCTRCGTGTACAAAAGGGTCTCCTGCAGATAACACATTTCAGTCTTTAAATATTTCTGTCTGAGGATTTCTGTGTCCACAAAGGCAGTTAGGAGCTCAGACCCCCGCAGCTCCCTGCATTCCCTTGCCATTCGAATATGAATGCTTGCATTTAAAGAGCCTTGAGGGCGTGTTATGTTTTGCACTGCAGATCTGGCAAGTTTAATTAGCTCAAGATGTCGTGGGCTCTCTTCCCTTAACCTTGTCAGGGACTGTGGTGTCATGTTTAATGAAGGGATAAATGGGCAGGAGCAATGCTCGGAGTGTGGGGTGGGGAATATGTTGAAGAAGATCCCACAGAGATGGAGATCTAGAAAAGAAACACTATCATTTATATTTGTGTTATTGGAAGCTGAAGTCCCCGTAGCAGAATTTCACACTTTTTTCCCTGTACAGAGCCTTTCTTAAAGAAACAACAAGCCTCCTTGGGGGYTTAGCAGCAGCCGCAAACCTGTCCTGCTGTGTGGTGAGGTCCTCAGGGCACCGTCTGACTCCTTCTGGGTAGAACGTGAGAATAATCAGTGTAATCCAAACATTTGAGTTTCAYCAGTTTTTGACTTTAACAACGGTACCGGATAATTTTCTTTATTGAACTTGCAAAAGCTTAAACCTAAGTGAATCAGTGACAGACGGGATGAAAGCATCATAACAGTGCATTAACATTCACCCCCAGAGAACGGTTTCTCTAATGCAGTTCAGTCTAAATGTGCTGAAAGGGTAGAGCTTTGAGAAGGATAATGATTGTGTGAGCATCCTTTTATTTTCCTTTTCCTTTTATTTATTTATTTATTTTCCTGGAGTGGAGGATCTTTTTGAAATCGGCCCTCCTGTTGTCTTATTCTGCATTGTCTGGGATTGTTCTTCCTACACAACAAATTGCATTTGATTTATTAAAAATATTGCAGGATCTGGATTCTTATTTTAGGTATTTGATGAATTTAGCCCACAAAGATCTGCTAGCTGCTTTTGTGCATAGATTGTATTCAGTTTGGGGTTTTCAGGTAAGTGAATTTAAACCGCAGATTATCTGAGATAAAGAGAATAAATAGTGTGTAAAGAGAATAAAAGAGTGTGTAATCCTGAAAGATCTGATTCCTGGCAGGAGTCTTTAGGTGATAACATGAAGCGAACTAGAATACAGATATATGTCGCCYGTGCCGAAAGCAGTGCCAGAGGACAGCAGGCTGTCAAGACCCTGAAACACTTTGCAAAGGAAGAGATGGATATTTTAAAGGCATAGCTGTAAAGCAGGGATCAAGAGAAATGCATGATTTTTTCTTTAGAAATGTGATGCTGTAAGTGGACTGTAGAAGAATGTGGCTAGCAGAAATAACACACCAGGATTGCGTTCAATTTGTCTTTCGCTGAAATTTCTGCCATTGAAAAACATAGGCATTCAGCACTTCTCCTAGATCTCTTCCTTTTTTTTTTTTTTTTTTTTTTTTTTTTTTATTTTAGTCATTAATAAACTCCTTGGTTTCAAACGTGTGCTCTTCGGATCTTTTCTCAGCTTGCTCTCCCTTCAGATCTGAATGTGATAACAAACTGCAGACTGTGCATTGGGTGTTTGTTTGCATCTCTACATCTTACAGCTTGTAAGTATTTTATTCCTTTAATTTTGAAAGGTTTCTTTTTGTTGTTGTTGGGGTATTTTGCTTCCTTTTCTCTAACTTGTAAAGAACAAATTCGACTGACAGTTTACAGATCTGATGCCAAGTCAATGTGCACTTGCTTTACACTGATGTAAATAACTATATAATATGCTGATCATTTTTGTGTAAATGATAGATGCATTTGAGCCTATTTGAGTTAAGCTAAGTATACGTACAGCTCTGAAGTTTTCTTTACTCAGACCCTACACAAAACCCCAAATAAAATATACCTCTATTTTAACCTGCAACAAAGCCATCAGGGCACTTGCCTTGTTGGATTTTAAAAGCCATAAATTGAAATCATTAGATCATAATAAAAAATGAAATTAAATCATAAATTAAAAGGCATGCTTTGCTTGTGGCAGGAAATAATTTTTCCTTTTTCCTTGTGTGCATTTTTTTTCAGTCAGTAAGTAACTGACCTTGGTCCCCAGGCGTAGTTGTAAAGCGATTCTGTGTTCCTGGAAGGTCCATCTATATGAGGATTAAAAAAGGGGTATCCTAATTACTCTGGTCATTTAATTGCTAGAGACATCCATGCAAGAATAAGAAGCAGTAAGCATCACATTCTTAAATTCCAAGGCAGCAATCACTCTTTGCCTTTCCTATCTAACCATTTTACATTTTCAAGTGGCTTAAAATATTACCAAATTATTTTCTGTCCCGAGCCATTGTATAATTTAGTTGTATGATGTTAAACTGCTACCTTTCGCCAGGTTAGAGTGGATTGCCATTCAAGGTTGAAGGGTTCCCAGTGTGTAAAGTTCATTCAATCTTTCMATGTGAGCATGTGAAAGGATTTTAATAGCAATAAAGGCTTTTGTGTAAAGTTAGCCAGAAAGATGATATGTGATAATATCATCTGAAACTGGAGGAAACAAATGTAGAAAACGAAGATGTGAGTGAGGAAGATGGAAGAATTAAACTGGAAGCTTGCTGCCCTTGGAACACGTATGGAATTAACAAAGCTCAGAAGAGACAATCTTTTTAGCACATGTAATGAAAACTTGCTGCCAGCTTTTGGAAGTAATTGCTCTGATAAGAGCTCTGGTCAGGGGGAACCTTTAATGATCAAGAGGTTTCCTCCTGGAACTGGCACTACTCTTTGCTTGGGCTCTCTTCTGGGAATCTGCCCAATTATCCTCCTCTTCTTTCTGTCCTGACGCTGTATGAAGGAGTGGAGTTTTTCTCAGGTCATGAGGGGGTGATAGCATTATCTGCTCACTCTTGACTTAAATTTCCAAAAGGGCAAAAGAGAGTGGAGAACACACTTGAGAGTTCTTTAATAGAGATAATCAGTGTCAGCCCTAATGAATGTCCTCTGCCTCTCCTCTGCCGTTCAAAACAAAGATTTGCCTGCCTAGTGCTGACTTTTCATCAGTTGCTGCACTGATCCAGAGTACCAGCTTGCAACCAACACTCCTTGTCTTGCCCTTTCCTGGCCAGATTATTGGATGGCAATTCTGAGTGCCATCTCCTATCCACCAAGATCCTTCGCCATCAGTAGGACATTCCCAAGTCACCTTTGTGGGCGTGTTGCTCTGCATCAACGTTGGGAAATCTGTCTTGTGAATGTCCTTACCATGCTATTGATACCCTGACCTCTATGTAGCCAGCCCTTTTCAAGAAGATTGAAGAAGCCTTATCTCTTGGAGGCATTCACACTGCCTTTCTGTTTACACTTGGCTGAAATCAGCCAAGAGGTTTTCAAGTTATTCGGGAAGGAAGGCAGATAGGCACTACCAGCCTGTTGGTGTGTGAAGTGACAAGGGACCTCTCTGTAGTAACTATTGTAAAAACAAATTAAGCAATCTTTTTTTTTTTAATGTTTACAGTGCTACATGTTTACAAAAAAAAAAAAAAAAGACTTTTTGGAATGCCTTTTACCTGTAAAGAAGGAGTTTCTGAGAGATTGTAACAAAATTATTAGCTTATCTAGAACAAAAACAGTGATTTTCTTTGATGTCAGTCTGCTCTCTGCTGAAACACTTTGAAGCCTTTGAAATAGCCAAAATATTTCTCAGCTTGTCATCACAAAAGTTGGCTAGAACAAAGTACTTATCTGTGTCTGATAAAGTCTAAAGAAAATGAATCTACCAGACGCTTCGTTGTTTCTGCTCCTCAATTTTTAGAGCCTTGGTAGTTGTGAGTATGCTCCATTAAATTATATTTCACTGAATCTGGAGAAACAGAGTTGTTACATCAAGATATACAGAGAAATACCATACAGGCAACTGGATTGTAAGGAATTTATGACACCATGACTCTCTGAAAAAGCTGTTTACTGCATGCCATCTTAGCGAGTGCTGAAGTCTCATTTAAAATTCACATTAGACTGAACGGGTAGACAAGTCCTGTCTCGATGCTCAATATAATACACATATGACATATTACACATATTACATATATATTGGTGCCGAGGGCATATGATAATTTATAAGGTCTCCTTTCCCGAACACAATACAGTTTTCTGAAAAAATAAGATTTATGTCTGGTGCCATCAAGGGACAGGTGCAAGCAGTTGGTAGATTTTGGCATAGGTATGCATGGCAAATGAGGGTTTTCGAGGGTTTAGTCCTTGTATAGCAATGATTTACTTCATCCCTTACCTCCCCAGTTTACCCTGCTTTCAGTGGAGGCCAGTCAGGGAATAGAAGAAAAGATGACAGACTCCAACTGAGCCTGYCTACTGTGCCTCTCATTAGTGCTGGAATAAGAACAGTTATCCTCACCTGTGAAAAGGGAGTTGTAGAGAGGAAGTGAATGGAGGRACCACACCTGTCTGGAGAATAATACTTCAATAGTAGTTCTGTTCAAAAAGGGCAGCAGGCAAAAGACATCATGGGTGACGGTCTGTCCTGTCTGGGGTCTGAAGGAATAGAAGGTCTTGGTCTCTTTTATGTCTAAAAGACAGCAGAGTGTGGATGTAGAGTTTGTCTCTTCTTGATTCTCTGAACAGTTTTGCTGATCTGACTTCTGAAATCAGTAAATCTACACCAGTTGATCAGAGCAGCAGGGTTGTGCAACAACCTTTCAGTTTGTGTAGCAGAGCAAAAACTCCTAGACAGTGCATGAAAAGGGGCAGATGAGTCCATGCTTTGCAGAGCAATGGCATGGACTCCACTCAAGCAGTCTCTTCAAGTTGCATGTTTCTGCACTGGGATTACATAGTTGCCTCTGGGAAGGTAGTCTGGATCAAGCTGCATCATAAAAATATGAGGTCTCCAAGGCAGAGTTTTTCAGTGGAAGGAATTTTTGGGACTGGTTATTTAGGAAGCTGAACAAAGCAAAAAAGGGATAAGGCATTTTTCTGTCAGGGTAAGAGATCCTCTTCATCTCTAGTTATTCAGGAAGAGCCCTGAATAACATCAATCCCTCCTTATGAATTATGCACTTTAAGTTCACACTTTACCTTAAAACAAAACAACTTTCCAACCAGAGAAAAGGAGATCGTTACAGAATTTGAAAACTTTGGTTCCTTTGCTGTGATTTCTTTGATCAGTTCAGGGTTCTTTCTCAAAAAGACTAGGTGTTTATTACACTCAGTCTGTTTCAATTTTGTCATAATATTTGGAAATTAATGAAAAAATTCCCAATGGTTTTGCAGGGACAAAGTTTGAACTCGATGTTTTGATGTTTCTGATGTTCCATTCATTTTTTAATATTCCACAAACCCTATTCCCAAAAAAGAAAAAGATTTATTGGGGGGGTATTTGTTTGGGAGAGTTAGACCCCCAAAGAGTAGTCAGGTGGCTATGCCATTTACCTCTTGTCTCAGAAGAAGTGGAGATTTGAACCAAACCAGTGCCTGTACTGTACTCAGTAGATCTGCTTGTGGAGCCCCTTAGCAAGGACTGGGAGGTGTCATCTGCCTCCAGGTAGAGGTATTGGGACAGCCCCACTACCTGGCTACTTTTCCCCATCTCAAATTGCTTTTCCATCCTTCACACTACACTACCAGACCTCACTAGCTGAGCACATCTGGTTGTTTTCTATATTTTTTTGCAAATCTTGGAGTAGCAACCAGGGAACTTCAACAGGGATCTGGATAGGATTCATCTAATTTCTGTACCTGTTTTATACTCTTCCTATCAATAATACTCAGATGTTATGACTGGACATGTCTACCCCATAGGACTTTACTGTTAACGTCAACAGGATACATATAATTTGTAAAGATCCTTTAGATAGAGTACAACATTACATTTTAGATCCACRTTTTTTAAATTAGTGATCAAAATAAAGAAGATAAAGAAGCTTTTTAAAAAATATTCCTACCCAAAGAATTATTTTAGCTGAAGATACATTTTATGGTAATATTTGATCACATGTTACTCGAGGTGAGTGAGGCAAGTGGGACCTGGGCCATAGTCATTTGGAATCAGAGTTTATGGTATCTCTGATCTCACTGCAACATATGAGATTTAAAAATAACCCAATTAACATAGTAAGTCCTATAAAGGCTATGATCTAACACAGCACTTATATCTCTGCTTAACTTTAAGCTTATGATTAGTCCTATTTACAACCATAAGTTTTCCACTAGCTTCAAAGAAAGTCCTATGATAAAGTTCTTCCTTGTACTGGGGCCAAAATTCTTAGTAGTAAAAATCGAATGTAGCAGATTTCAAGCTCATGAAGAATTTTAAAGTGTTTTAACTTCTGCCATGCTGAAGAATCTATGTGAATTAATTCCTTAAGTTATTGTAGAGAAACTCAATTAATAATGGATCTGCTTTTCATTATGATGAGTAATCAGGGATAAACATCTTTGATATCAAAGCCTATCTTTTAAAAAGGATAAATTAGCTATACGACACTTAACTACTTCCAGAACATGAAATGAACACATATTGTTCCATTAGTTAATGGTAGATCACTAAATTAAAGATAGTTCAAAAGGAGTATAATCTCATAAGGATCTCTCTTTGTTCAGTCTGTTGTGACTCATTTAACACTGTACAATACATTCAGTTTCTTGAGGGGTAAATAATATTAACGGTATAAAATGGTTTGGGTTGAATGTATTTTATGCAATAGCACAAGCACAAAAAGATTTCTATCTGATATTTGCAGATGCAGTTCTGTAGTCCTGAATATCTCCTGGAATGTTTAATTAAGACTACCAAAAGCTCTGCAATAAAACAATATCCAGAATATAACTTTTTGTCCTTCAAAATATTATGGATGTATATGTACTATTATACTAACACAAGCCAGGTCATCAGCCTTCCATCTTCTCTCTATTTGAATTATTATCATACTTCCTGGCATGATTTTGGCCAGCTAGGCAAGCAATGTCTAGACATTAGGTTTGGATTAGGATTAGTCTAGGATTAGTTTAGAGTTAGGACTGGCTGTCTTCCATTCCCCAAAACAGTTGTTATGTGGCCACCCTACCTTTGAGGATAAAATGGGATTTAGCCATCCTAATGAAAAATGTGTTGTTCCTGAGACTGAAGAATAGTCTTGTCCAGTCATGAAGTAGTACTAACGTAGCTCAGCGCTATAGAAAACAAATTAAGGTTTAAAAACATAGGATTATGCCTGCTGCTTAAAATAGCCTTGTTATTCAGGCACTTAGGGCTTATTATGGCATATAGCATAACATACTAAATTTATTTTAAAATGCAAAAAAAAAGGGGTAACTCAAAGAAAATAATTCAGTGATTGCATAGCAGACTTCTTAGCGTTTTCAGCGGGTGTATCCCTAGGCTTTCATGTTCTGATGGAGAAGAAACAGCACAAGCTGAACAATATCTTATCCTTCTTAAGGATTGTTGAGAGTAGGGACTTTTTGGTCACAGCTAGTGTCAAAAAAGTGTCTGCTTCTTGCAGAAAAAGATACTTTACCAAGTTAGCAGTAGTAATATGCTTAGAGGAAAAAAGGTAAGGCAGAGTGCTGCAGGGAAGAGTGTTGGAAGGCCCCTGGGAACCCAGGGAGATGCTTCAGCAGTTGTGTGACGCACAAGAAGGGAGACTTGCAAGCTGGGTGGAGTGGCYGACACTCCGGAGGGCTGTGCTGCCATCCAGAGGGACCTGGACAGGCTGGAGAGTTGGGCAGAGAGGAACCTCATGAGGTTCARTAAGGACAAGTGCAGGGTCCTGCACCTGGGGAGGAATAACCCCAGGCATCAGTACAGATTAGGGCTCGACCTGCTGAAAAGCAGCTCCACGGAGAGGGACCTGGGAGTCCTGGTTGACACTAAGTTAACCATGAGTGAGCAGTGTGCCCTCGTGACCAAGAAGGCCAATGGGATCCTGGCCTGCATCAGGAGGAGTGTTGCCAGCAGGTCAAGGGAGGTGATTCTGCCCCTCTACTCAGCTCTGGTGAGGCCGCACCTGGAGTACTGTGTGCAGTTCTGGGCTCCCCAGTATAGGAGGGACGTGGAGCTTCTGRAGAGGGTCCAGAGAAGGGCAACCAGGATGATTAAGGGAATGGAACATCTCTCGTATGAAGAGAGGCTGAGTGAGCTGGGCCTGTTTTCTCTGGAGAAGAGACGKCTCAGAGGGGATATGATTAATATGTATAAGTTCAGGAAGGGAGAATGCAGGGAGGAAGGGGACAGGCTGTTCTCACTGGTGGCGAGCGATAGGACGAGGGGTAATGGCCACAAGCTGAAGCATAAGAAGTTCCATCTCCAGGTGAGGAGCAACTTCTTTACTGTTAGGGTGACAGAGCAGTGGAACAGGCTGCCCAGGGAGGTTGTGGAGTCTCCTACTCTGGAGGTCTTCAAAACCCGCCTGGATGCCGCCCTGTGCCACATGCTSTAGGTGTGCCTGCTTGAGCAGGAAGGTTGGACTAGATGATCTGYAGAGGTCCCTTCCAACCTTAAATATTCTGTGAATCTGTGAATCTGTTATTTGAAGGGCCTGATTCTGCTTTGACTCAAACTGACAGTATTTGCTCTCTCTACCGCAATGAAAATTAGTGAGGTTTTCAGAAGAGTAAGATGTTGCCTATTTTGAGTTAGACTGGAAGAACTGGTTAATTAACCCTAAGAATATGGGCAGTGAAATAAAGGAGGCTGCACTGAAGAATACAGTGTTGTCTACAACGGCACTTAGAATCTGTGATAAGATCTAGCTAGTCCATGAACAAATTATTTCAAATGGATAACATTATTTTTTTTCCCGGATAATCTTTTTTTTAAAACTTTTTTTAAACTAAGATTGTGGAGACAAAGTTTGTTAAGGACAAATATCCATCTTTCCTTTTTTAGGTCTGATGGATGGATTGTGAACTGGATGTGTATGAGGAGACTTAAGATTGGATTAGGCACAGTGGCTCCAGGGAAGCAGAGGAATGGGAGGTCTGTACCACCTTTGGGGTCTAGGTCTTTTGTGTCATTTAAGTCCCTGGAGGGCTCCCAGGTTTCATGATTCTCTGTAGGAAACCTAGCACTGGTGACAACATTAAACTTGAGCATCTTTTAGTTCTTACTTTAGCATCTTTGCTAGAAAATCTTCTGAAGARCATACTAGTTGATAGACCAACTTGTGTTCTCCTTTCTTTCTTATGTGCTTTTGCAGAATGGGGCAAAACAGAGGCTCAAAGCACCTAAAAATTTTGCTATCTCCGTTTGATTGTAAAGCATCTACTAACATAAAGGAAATGTACARTTGATAACCTATAGAACAACTGTAAACTTATAAAAGAAAAATGTTAGCAAGGGAAAATCTTTCTCCCAACCCTCTGTGAAGTGGAGTTCATGAGAAGTGCTCAGGTGCAGGTACAACAACTGTGAGATACAGCTGTTGAGCTGAGACTACACAGAATGAGATCTAAAGCAAGATCAGTATGAGAGGGACCACGCTCTRAACTATGTCCTATGGACATTTTCATTCCACCATTGTCAAGGTGGAAAGCTCACCACTTTTCTATCCAATATCAAGGTGTGTGCTGTGAGAGGTTGTTCATGGATGGATAGTAGAAAGGTAGCACCTGGATAATATATAGAGAAAATAAGCTCGGTTTCCTACTCATTTGCATCTTGTGTTGCCTATGTTTATTAAAGCAAAATTTAGTGGATTATGGCTTGTAATTCGGCTACCTCACAAGGTTAGCTTTTAACAAGCAGTGATCCTTGCTCTTCTAGTCTGCACTTGGGTGTGGTCTACAGTGCTTAAAAAATGATCTTCTCATCATGTTCTACTCTGACCTTTGTCAGCACCAGAGCTGCCATATTCTGACACAAGATAGCTGGAGGCAAAGGTTTTCCAAAGGTGGGCYCTTTTCCCCTTCAGCATTTGCTGCCCTTAGAAAGTCCTCTCACACTTGCTAAACCTCAAGGGCTGCCTCTTCCCTCAGRATTTTGCTTACAGGTGACAGAAATTCTTGTGCTGCAATGTGCCTAGCAGTGAAACAGTATTGGAGCAAGATGCATTTTAATCTTTGCAATTAATTAATCCATTTTTTTACATCTACAGTAAGAAATCAGGTCTCAGATTTTCTGATTACGTTGGGCAATATGGTATGGAATAGTGACTAAGGGTGGTGGATTTACCAGCCATCCTGGTRTTAAACAGCCTTGTCCCAGGATGACAAGCTGAAGTCTTGAACAAGATTTTCTCATTCTTTGACTAGCTTTCATCCACCAGACCAGTTTGGATTCCCATGCTTCTGTCTCATACAAAGCGCAAGGATATTTGGATTGAGCTGTTCTCAGTTAAACAACTCATGGTGGGCAAAGGTCAGTTTAAATTTGTTGTCAGCAGAAATTTTCTTTATCCATACATTTTGGCAAACATCAATATAAAGATAGTAGTTAGCTAATGGTTTACGAATTGCAGCTTAATGGTAAGGAATAATAATTTGTAACTGTTAAGAACTGAATTATCTCCCACAATTCATACACAATTAAATCACATTTTCTGGTGGTAAGTTAATCTTGCTTTTTTTATTTTTTTTCAGTTCTGAAGGATACAATTTTACATTGCCCTGAATTTGAGCAGTAAAGGATAAATTTGATCACCACCTGACTCGTCTCTTCACTGTGATGAAGAAATGATTGTCTAAAATAAACTCTTTGTTATGCTGCTAAAATTGCCTTTAAATCTAAAATCTGTGCTGATTTTAAAAAATCAAAACCAAAAATGTCAGAACCTGACCCTTCATCTGGATTTTTAGGAAACATGGAAAATGGGACTTTTCTGGAGCTGTATCCCACATCCCTTTCGACTTCAGTGGATTCATCTTCTGACCATTTATCCAATGTCTACGTATACGTTTCTATATTCCTCAGTCTCTTAGCTTTTCTCCTTTTGCTATTGATCATTGCACTTCAGAGGCTTAAAAACATAATTTCTTCCAGTTCCTCTTACCCAGAATATAATAGTGATGCTGGAAGTTCTTTCACTAATTTAGAAGTCTGCAGCATTTCTTCCCAACGATCCGCTTTCTCAAACCTTTCTTCATGAAAAATCCGTGAAAGAGAGGACACAGGGAATGGAACCACTTTGTCCAGCTTCATGGGGAGGTTCTGCATGCAACACTTGCCTTAGAAGACTATCACAAAGAGATGACTTTTGAAGTTTCCTTATCTCTTTCTTTCCCATTTTAGCCTTCATTTTCCCTTTTACTAAAGTTAATGTTTCATTCTGCGAAAAGGAAAATGACACTCTGTTGTTTTGTGCCTGTAATCGTGATGTTGTCTTTTTCCTACACATTTATGTGCGTTCATTAAGAGTATTCCCGACGTAATATGGTTTTAGTCTGATTAGTCTGATGTACCATTTTTCTGTTGTGGTTGTGACTCCTTTTCTGGTTGTGTTTTAGTAGTACTGTTGTCTTCTTTTTTTTTTCTTTTTTCTTTTTCAGTAGATTAAGACTTGATGAAACTCATACTGAAAAGAATCAGTTTAAATTATAAATGGAGTGCCAGGACAATTTAAAGTCATTGGTGTTGGTTGTTTTTAATTTTGTATTATTATTTTCAGTATTTATTGATCTTTATAAAACAAAATGAAAATCTATTTCCTGATTAATGTTACATTTGTTTATTTGTACTACTACATCTCTCTGTATAATGTCTTTGTATTTAAGTTTTTGAATCTCTGAAATATTTGGTTAACTTAGTAAAGCAACTACACTAAATATGCTCACTGGTAGATGCATAGAGATATTTTTGGACCACATTACATATAATTTACCTAATGACTTGCTTCTCTGAGGGGGCGAGTTTTTTTGCTGCTGAATCATAAATATCACACAACCCCTTTTCATCCTTCACTGATGCTGCTGTTCGTTTTTAATGGGTACCAATACAAAAAGATGATTTCTTTCAGGAGATCTGCCTACTATCACCATAGCTGATAACTACGTCCTGTATAGCTCCTATAACTGTCCTTTCTTCTAGGCACAGGATGTTTGTACACATATAAGTAGGTCCMATAGGGACAGAAATTACTCGCACTGGGAAGCACTTCCCAGGCCAGATCCTGCTCTATAATTTCACAGGTGCACCTAGGGTGGAGGGGAGTCATGAGCATCTGCATAACATGCAGGCAGATCCATGCTTTCACACTCCACAGCTGCAAAGTGCATCTGTAGAGAGCAGAAAAGACGGGGAGGAAAAAGGCCAGTGGCTCTGCCCTTCTCCCTCATTAGCCTCAGGAGAGGCTGGAGRTGCTGGGTTGAGGAATGGATGACCTTGCACATCCCACTGCTCCTTGCTACGCCATAGCCTGGCTTATGATTCCACCTACCCAAATGTAGCCCAGCACTCAATTTCTGCTGTAAAATACCTAGCAGTATTGCGTACAAGATCCTGTGGTAGGTCGTGAATTATTTAAAATCAAATATGTGAATTAATTAAAATCAAATGGTCACAGATATGATTCAGAATGCAAAGTGTGACCTACCAGGCTAGCAGACTGCAGTCCYGTACTGTGCTGTACTATTCTGTGTTATCCTTACGGTAGCATGTGAGCAGAGCCCAGTCCTGCTGCCACTCAGGTCCCTGCAAATTTTGCTATATTGGCAGCATCCAAGTCACTTGGGAGACCAAGGGAAGGGTATGGAAATGTCACTGCTGCATCTGTTGCTSGCATAACAGCACAAAGCTGTAAGTGATGGGGAGGTCTCAGAAGAGGAAAAGTGTGTGGTTTCCTTACCAACTACTGCTGCCCTTGCAARACTCTTCCAGGGACACACCAGCTCCTCTTCTTGCTCTGCAGCCTTAAGGTTTATGGATGATCAATAAAGGAAAGTCAAAGAGGGTTAAGGCCGTAATCAATAAAGSCAAGCTCTGTGCTGCTTCACAGTCAGATTTTTACGAATGTTGTCCCTCCAAGATATCAACTGTATGTCAGCTGGATGCATTCTGCCATTAGCTATACAGTCTTTAACAGAAAATTTGGAAAGTGTAGAAACACAGCTCTTCAGAGCCAAACAACATACAGATTATGCTGGAGTTGGTGTTTTCAATTTTTAAAAGTGAACCCATGGCATGAAAAGCAGTACTGGATTTTGATGTTGGTTAACTCCTTGCAAAGTCAAAGTACTAGCTGACTAAAGAAGAACTTAAGCTTATAGGATCTCTGAGCCAAATTTTCTTTATGCATATATTTCTTCTCTTGAATACTTCATTCATTTAGAGAAAATTTCCCTATGCTATGTTCAGTCTTTTTCACTGGTAATTGATGATTGACCTTGAAAAAAAACAGCAAAGTGTTTAAAGGGTATCAAGAAACATTATGTCCTTTCTGAAAGATGTTTACGATCACAGATCTGTAACATAATGTGTTTCTGTGTTGACTTGTAAATAAAAATAAATAAACATGTCATCAAAATAGAGTAACTTTTCTGCCATCTTCTCTTATCTATGAGGTTATAAATTCCTTGTTTTCATTGCTGCAAATATGGGAAACTAATCCAAAACAGAGATAAGACCACAGTTTGAGATGGGTGTTTATTTCCAAGGATGTGAGGTTTCCTATTACACTTATAAACTTATTGTTGATCTTTAATATTAAATACAGACTGCTGAAAAAACATTGCTGTTCAGCTAGCTTTTGTCAACCTTCGCAAGAGCAAAAATYATTTTTTAGCTTGTAAAAGTAGCAAAGGTGACTGAAACCACATAGTTTATGTCACTTTATAGCTTTCTAGATRCTATTACAATATTGTTTCCACTCTGCAGGAACATATAGGACTATATACAGTCATCGTGATTTCAGCTGAGTTGCACCTGTCAGATTTGAGTTGTAATCAGTTGAAGCCAACACGACAGTCTCTGGAGATACCACAGGCAAAAGGCACCCTGGCATTTTCCAGGATTGCTAAATACTAGTAATCCTAGTTTGACTTAACTTGAGTTGGTGTTTCAGGGATTTTCCACTATGGCAAAATGAAAAACAGATTCTTCATATGCATCAGATTTCACTGTTTTCCACCTCTCTCTCTCTTCTTGTCAAACACAGATTTATGCGTGCACAAGTTTATGATATCCTGAATGCATGGAAAAATAAAATTTGATGCAAACTTCTCAGTAAGTTCCTCAAATAACATGTATTTTCTTAGCAGAATAGGAATTAAATTAATTTTAATCAATATGCTATGTCTAATGTGCACCTGCACATAATCTGCATAAAATCTGCTTCTGAACCATGATTGGGATGGCCCCAGTTACCCAGCCTGTGGTAACCTATACACACACCTATGTACCCCAAACAACAKGAAATACAGTAATGGTAAAAATCAGTGCATGGCTTTATATTGACCAGCATGTCCAGGGGTGATATCCATTTCTATCTTTTTAGGGAGACCATAATACTGTCTGAAAAGCAGTGGATTTCCTCTAGCTGTGCTGCTGCAAAGACAGTACTTAGAGGGCTAACCCATGATTTTGACAAACTCCTGAGAAAACGAGAGCATGGCTCTGCAACTCTGAAAGATAAATGACTATTGGACCAGTTCTTCAAATTCTCTGTAGCTACCACCAGTGACTTTAAAATAAGATCCATTGCTTTTAGCTGGTTGTGTAGACCTCTCAGCAAACTATCACTGTCATACTGTGACACATACAGCGTGACATACTGTAAACATACAGGAAGGAGTTCATTTTTCAGGTGACTTGATGAACATCAGTAAGTATGGGTTTGGTGTTTACATTCGTTTCTATGTTCCCGCCAGATGAATTTGAATTCATGGCCTTGTCTCCAGCTGGCAAACCTAACTCCCATTTGCCCGAACAGGTAGAGACATTGAGGGAAATGTCTTAAAATGGTACATGAGGTTTTTGCAGATCAGGTCTTCCTAAATATTACTGAGGCATATTTCCTAACAAAGTTATCTCTGATTTACAATAAAAATTTAGAATTGGACCATCTGATTTTTTTGGAAACTTTTCAATTAATGACATATTTTCATAGCAATTATCTGCTACCCACAGCAAATACCATCTTTTGGCTTATATTTATCTGAAAGTCTTCTATGAACTAGAGGATTTTGATTGCATGCAGTCATTTATACACATAGATGACAGGTCTACAAAATAATAGTTTGGTCGTCCAACTCAATGTCAGTGCAGAGCCTTGGTAGCCTCTGACTTGCTGTCTTCTCTGATTTGCCGTGGCTTCTCTCTGCAGCTTAAGAAAACTGCACATCCACAGTGCAGTTCCATAATGTGTTATTAGAGAGCTGCCAGATTGCTTCAAAGTCTGCTCCTCCTGCCCACAGCCTCCCACCTGTCCACACCAGCTTTCACACCGCCCTACACTGTGAAGCCCACACAGTAGTGGGCTTCCCATCTCAGAGCAAGGTTTTGCTCTAGGCCTCTCTTTTTCCTTTCCTCTTTCCTTTCCTTTCCTTTCCTTTCCTTTCCTTTCCTTTCCTTTCCTTTCCTTTCCTTTCCTTTCCTTTCCTTTCCTTTCCTTTCCTTTCCTTTC